CAAAGAAGAATTTGGTTGATTTATTATTTATTCATTTAAACTTTTTTTTATATATATTTTGGTTATATAATAAAAGATAATTCTTTTTAATTTTTTATTCCACTTCACTCGCATGCTTACATAACTCGAATTTAGAATTCCTTACTTCCAACAAAAGAAGATTACTATTCAATTACTTAAGTTGTTAGTAGTAATTTAAACATATTGATTTAATGTTAAGATTGTGACTAAAAAAGAAAAAAATCTTTCTTCCACAAAGCTGTCCTCTTTATTCATCTTTATCAGGTTTGAATTTATAATCTCTATTGTATAAGGGGAACACACATTTTAATCGTTAAGGGTTAAAGACATCTCTTAAATGACATGATAAATAATTTTTTTATAATTTTAAATAAGCTAAATCTTATTTGATCAATTCAATGAGTGGACTAGCTAATTGCATATAATATATATATATATATATATATATATATAGTCAAGGAAATGGGTTCATAGCAACACTTATTTTGAGGACCTAATAAAAAATGAGAAAAGTTCAAGGGCTAAAGGTGTAGTCTTTACATTCTAAAACCTAAATTATAAATTTATAATATAGTGCTTGAAGTAAAGATTGAAGATATATGTACCAAAAAGAGCACACAAAAAAAGACAGTATAAATCTTAACTTTTTCCATTTAAATATAAAAGAAATATTTTATGCCGTTTAGATTATATAAAACTATTTATTGATAATGGATGTACATATACATCCAAATGTGAAGTTCTCCTCGCCATTAATAGCCCCTCTTTTTTTTCTTTTTTCTTTTTTTTTTTTGACTTTTTTGGGCAATCCAGCTCAAATGTAAACATCATATCATATATAATACTACTAGTAGTACAATTGACAATAGAAAACAAACAAAATTTCACGGACGTTGTGTTTGGTTCAGCTAGCTATTTGCATTTTCTCTTTCTATGCGTTGGGGTTGTATTAATAGGATGCCATTTGTTGCAGTTTCTTTAATTTGCTTCGTTATATTTCTGTCATTAATTTGGAGGCCTCCTCTGCTTCCTATGATCCTCTTCTTCCTTAATTTCACACTCATCAATTTTAATAAAAGCTGTTTTGGATCACAAGATGCATTTATTGGCTATTGTAGTAGTAGTAGTGCTGGCTTAGTTGGATTCCATTTCCATGATCGTGATTGAAATACTGAATGAGTGTTTTTTGGCTTCATTCCTTGAGTTATTTTCTTTTCTACCATATATATTTTCATAAAAAAACAATTTCGAGCTAGTTTGGCCTCACTGTATGGTTTTTAAGTAGGAAATTTGGTTGTTTAGATATTTTGCAAAAATGTTAAATCTAAATTTATATAAAATAATTATGAAAAACATTTAATTAAAAAAGAATAAAATTTTATTAAATTAAGAAAATTTTAATTAAAAAAATCTATTACAAAAACATTAAGTTTGAAGTTTCAACTTCCATTGGTACTACAGTAGTTGAAAGTAGATTTTAAAATATTAAAAAATATTTTTTAATTTAAATTATATTAAATTATAAAATATTAACTATTAAATTAAGAGAGACTTTTGATAATAAATAGATCCTTTTATTTAATAACTTGTAACTTGTAATATCTAAATTGCAAAACATTGAAGTTTTAAAACATTTAGAAGAGACTTTCCAAAAGAAGTTGCATCTGCATTCCTTACGAAAATGAGACAAACCGTAGAGAACATAAACAATGCATGAAAAATGAGTTAGGTTGTAAGCCAGATGGGGAAGCCAATAGAAAGGGTTGAATTGGAGCATTGAGTCTTGACTCTTTTACATCCAAATAATTAATACGAAAATGATGGATATATAGATTTCATTCAATACATTTTTAGACATTTGTTTTTATTTAATTATTAAAATATAATATAATTACAATTAATTTAGTTAGTTCTGCATCATGTATGTGTGGTTGTATTTTCATATTTGTTTGTCTTTAATTTTAAATAAATAATAATAATTTTTTAATAAATGTGTTTTATATTATATTATAATTACAATTAATTTAGCTAGTTCTGCATCATGTTTGTATGGTTGTATTTTCATATTTGTTTGTCTTTAATTTTAAATAAAAAATAATAATTTTTTAATAAATGTGTTTTATATTATATTAAACCAAAGTATATATTAATTAGTATTTTAATTAATAACATTTCAACAAAACTATACTATAAGCTAAATGGATGAATTCAACCACAATTAATTTTTGCTAATGATATGAGAACAATATTTTAATATAATTTTTATATATTATTAAAAAATAAATGTATATAATATGGCATAATTTAATAAAATAAAAAATTAATTATCAAATAATATATAATATTATATAAAAAAAATTATGGTCAGTTGTTTTCAATAATCTTACCTATAACAGCTGTGTATGAGTAGTCAATTACGAGTTAAGTTGGAGATAAATTAAATGATCCTATATATATATAGTGTTATAGACATAGTATAGTATTATAGTCGATTCATAATATAATTAGTTAAGAACTTTTGTACGAGTAATTGGAGTAGTTAAGGTCAATTTGAGGGCATACAGAATTAGGTGGGGCCAGTTCTAAGGAATTGTACTTAAAGAAACTGTACCACCACAAGTATGATTTCGTGGATGAGGGATGAAAAGTTTGGTAACATAATTTCGTGGATAAGTATTTCAGCATTTTCAACTCGGAAAATGAAATCTGGTTGATTTTCAACTCCATTTTCTTAATCATTTCTCCCTTGAAAAACAATCCATCCAGATGCTGTTCACATTGTATTTTTTTTTTTTAATTGAAGGTGTTTTTAAAACAATTTTTATATATTTTAAGGTTAACTTTAAATAAAAATTAATGGGTATCAGATTTAATTTTTTTAAAAAAATTAAATTTTTACTTATATTTAAAAATTAAAA